ATTGATGTATTAAATGCTAATACTCTAAGCCTGTAAATCTAAATTCACCTTTTCAAGTAGCAGTAAAGATATTTTAAAGAACCTTTCCTGTGGTTCCTAGAAAATAGAGTGGTTGAAGAAAATCTATTTTTATTAAAGTACATGCACATCCAATCTACAGACATATTTTCAACATCTTAGTGTTTTCCCTGTATCTTCTTCTATATGTTATTATGTTTTGAGAGTATTTTAGTATAGAAGGATCATTTTCTTCTCCTGTTGCCTCTAGAAGGGAGTAGATTGAAGCTTCCTAAGAGGAAGTACAAATGGAATATTCTAAATGAAAAAAATTTGTATTTGTGTATCCTTCACTCACTTCCTTTTTAAGACAGTAGGATCTGTTGGTTAGGCTTTTTTCCTTATTGTGCCAAATGAAATGACATATAAACCTTAAATGTTTTCTGCTTATTATTTCCAGCCTTTTTTTCATTGCACTTGAACTAATAAAAAATGCATTTTGAATTTAGGTAAACTATGTAGTGGACAGCATTATCTTACAAACTTAACTGTTCTCTGGGAGGTAATGAATAATTAGATTGGTTATAAATAGTTAGATTATAAATTTCATTTAGTTTCATCTATAGCACCAACATGTCTGTAGACAGTTACAGCATTGAATATCTTCTGGAATTGTATGCAGGTGTTTCAACTGATAACAGCCATCCCTTGAGGCACTGACTTAAAAGCAGCTCCATGCAGGAATTATTAAATATTTGTCTTTGTATCTTCAAACCTCTCCTGGGAGTATAATAGCTCAACATTGACTCTGTTCTGCCTCTGATGACCATGGTGCAAGCTCCTTACATGTTCCATCTCAGACTGCTACCCGTACTGTACCTCTTCTGTGGGACTGGCATGTGTAGTGGATTGCTTTCAGGTGATGGCTGGTAGGAAGTCTTTGAAAAGCAAAGCCAATTAGGATCACTTCCCACAAAAGGAAAAATTATTAAGGTTGTTGAAAAGGATAGATTAAAGATTGGCAGCTGTATTTTGGAATCCAAGCATCAGATTAATGATGCTGCACATAATTGCAGTCAAATTAATCTTTAGCAAGTAGATACATTTTAAAAGTTTGTTATTAATGTGTATTTAACGAGTGGCATTGTATTTATATACCCTTTGGGTTTCCATTGTACCACTTAATTAATAAGACAATTATTTCTAAGCATCTATTAAGAGAACCAGAGATTGCTAAGCAGTCTAAGGAATCTAAAGATTTTTAAGATGTGATTCTTATTTTAAGGGATATCATGGCTCTTTGTATATGGCTCTAAGCATTGCCATCACAACCATCACCACCAGCACCACTACCACCACCATCATCATCACTGCTATCACTCATTCATTCATTTTTTGGTTATCTGTTGCACACCTAGTATTTCCCAAACTAGGGAGGTAGCAGAGAACAAGATGAACTGGTCACTGACATCATGAATTTCTAGTCTAGACTTCTGAGACAGATAAAATGAACATTTAAACAGCTTAATCTATGTTATTAAACAGCATAACACATAACTATGGATAGATGATTAAATATAACATGACATGTGATATACCTACTATGATAATGTATAAAGAAAAATAAAGTGATTGAAGGCATAGAAGGGGATATAGAATGTCACTTTAGAGAGGGTGGTCAGGGAGGGTTCCTGAGGAAGGAGCATTTGAGATAAGAATTGGATGATGAGAAAGAGATATGGGCAAGTGTATGGAGAAAGAACATTCCAAGCAGCTCACTTAGTGTGAACTTTGCTATTGTACATTTAAGTAAAAGTTTTGTTTGAATTACTTGTTTTAATCATCACTTCATTTAAAAATAATAATCATTATTCTAGTTGTTCAAGTGAAAAAACATCTGAAACTTAGAAAAATGTAGAGGCATCTTTGCAATCTCATAATTATTAAGCAGAGAGTTGCATTCAACCCATTGATACTGTGTATTTCAGGAAGGAGAATCATATATAGTTTGCAAGAATGAGGGAAATCCTGAGAGAAGAGACATTAGAGCAGGATGTTGAATGGTTGATAGCATTTATAATTGAATGCATATGAAAGGGATTGGATGGAGAAGAATTGGGAATTGAATACTGATGTGTGAATTGAAGCCTCCGAGGCATATGTAGGACATGGGGATCAGAACGGTATGGATATTGTTCTTTCTCAAAAGGGACCAAGCTGGATGAGAGAACTGCAGCTTGGCTATATACAATTGTTATTCTAGATTCTACACTGCCTTTGATTCTTTAGATAGTGTAGGTGCATCAAAGGACTTTGTGGAGTAAGTAACAGAAAGTAAAACTGTGGTTTAGAAATAGTGCAGTAACAGAATGTAAGGTGGATGGAAAAGGGAGAATTGCAGTAAGAGCTCAGGAAACCTGCATTTCCTAATCAGGGCCTTGTAGATGTGTGGGGCATTTATGAGTCAGTGTAGGGAGCCACACATTCTTATATGCACCACTTTATGAATGGAAAAATACTTTTTACTCAAACATGTTCTACCATTTTTAAAATAGCACTTTTTCCCAGTATTCCTTGACAAGGAAAACATGAGTTTATTTGAAAACATTACAGAATTCAGGATCACTTTTATATAATTGTGAATTTTCTCAAATAAAATGTTCTAAAGTGCACTATTCTTATGTAGAGGCCTGAATTATGTCCCGATTCATTGATTTATTCACTGATTCATGCATTTATTCTAGGAATATATATATTCTTAGAACAGCATGTTATGGTAGTTAAGAGGGTGGTTTCTGAAGCAAGGTTTTATGGACGGGACTCTCAGATCTTCCATTTATCAACAGTCAGTAGATTTTTTTTATTAATCTCTCTAAATCTCATTTTTTGTATCTGCAAATTTGTCAGAAAACAGTAGTAGTCTCACTGATTTTTATGAGGATTATATGAATATGGCTATAATAAGGTACTCAATATAATAACAAACAGTAAGATTTCTAAGCTGTTATTACTGTTAGAGAAAGTCTGGTAGACTACATGGTTGCATTATATTTAGAAACTGAAAAGCACACTCTGAATTCATTTCTCAAAGAACTCATTTTGAGTTCAAGTGATAGTGAATCAAGATTAAAATCAGAGGTTTAAAATTATGATTTACTCTTGATTCTTTTTCTGAACTGAGAAGTCAGTTATAATTGCTTATGTCTATTCTTTTTCCTTTTTCTTACACCATGGAGCAGTAACACATGGCTCACTTCCCTTTGCCTTAATAAGAACATATTTGTGATTCTGGGCCCAGGTACCCACTTCCTCTAGTTTGGTGCTCTTGTCATTCTCTCTTAGTTCTTGAGGTGAGTGTTTCACAGCTTTCTGACCATCATAGCTGATTTAAGCATTGCCCTTTCTAATCTGTCACTCTGGCTACTGAGTAGTGTTGAAGTAGAGTCTAATATGGTGGAGAACCAACCCTCATACCACAGATTCTGAAGAAGAAACTCACCTAGAAACCTGCAATAACACTGCATTCCTGAGAAAGGTTTAGGGTCTTAAGAACAACTATTGCTCGTCTTAATGTTGTTAACTTTAAAGCTAATGATTTGAGGATCTGTTGTCTTTATTTATGTGGAAAATATGAATGGAAATGTGAACCAAAATGTGAAAAAGGTAGAGTTGGATAACAAGCATTAATAAAGAATGAAAAAGAGGTATGGAGTCATTTAAACGAAGGTGGAATTGGCCTCTGCTGGATTTGATTCATCAGAGTGAAAGACAAACTCAGTGGTTGGTCTGAGAAAGAGAAAAGCAAGTAAGAACCAAATACCTCTGTGCACATTTTCTTCTTGCATTTTTATTTAGGTCCTAGTTCTTTCAATCTAAAGCGTTTATGGTAGAATTGAATGCAAACATCATTATGTGAAAATTTGCTTCAGTGTTTTGATCTGTGGGTCATAGGAACCCATTTATAATTTATTAAATGTTTGCTATTCTATTTATGATTGTTTAAATCAGGACTGCTTCATGACTTCTTGGGTGATTTGTGCACACATAGTGAATGAACCAGATACCTTTATGTTCTGTTTAGTTTGTCCCCAAATCACTCGATTATTTATGAATAATGGAGGCTTCATTGGGAAGGGGCAAAAAAGTTGAGGGATGGGGTAGGAACACATAAATAAGAGGCTCAGTGTTATATAAACTTTATTGCAAAGAAAAGCTGGCATTCATTTCAAACCAGTGTAGTCTATGGTTTGCTTTGGTGAATTATGCTCACACATTTCTTGTAAACAGAGAACACAGATCATGTGAAAAATGGAAAGCTTTATTTTATGTATGGTGAGAGACGCTCAAGTTTATCCTTCCCCATCAATCTTATCTCTTGCCAATATCATGCATACTGCCCAGGGAGAGGATGCCTTTAACATGTTGATCTAGAAGCACTCATTTGATTTAGTTACTACATCATGTTGATTTTTATGAGTGGTGGGGGAAATGTTTAAAAAGGACCTGTTGTGTTTACAAATGTGCACTGCCCTGCAGTGAGGAGCAATTTATATGATTTTCCCATCTCTAACCTTTTTTTCCCTTCTCTAGTTAGAGAAGTACTCTACAGGGCTTTGGAGATATTTGTATTTAAATCTTTACTGTAAGTTCCATTGTAACAAGAAAGAATGTAAATGGGCACACTTTATTTCCATAGTTATTTTGCAGAGTATTTTGGTTATCATCCTAGTGTTTATAGTTGATGCGTTTTAACACCATGTACATTTTGGTCAGCAGGCATAAAGCTTCGGCTGGTGTATCTCTTAGAAAAATAAGATTGCCCCCCAAAAGATAGTCATTTATAATATATTCACCTTTGAATAATTAAGAGAGCCACTGAAGAGGGAAAGGATTCTAATCAGCTTTCAAACTGTGATTGTGCCATGCACTGAATCATTCCTTTATGAACACATTTCTCTTGGAGCATGTATAATTATGAAACTTTTTTTTTTCTATCTCGGTAGGAACTTGGAAGTAACAGCCCTCCACAGAGAAACTGGAAGGGAATTGCTATTGCCCTGCTGGTGATTTTAGTTGTATGCTCACTCATCACTATGTCAGTCATCCTCTTAACCCCAGGTAATCAGTCTTTATTCCTCTTTTATGATGGTATTGTGGATGATAATTTCACATTCAAATGCCTTAAGAGGGTAGCCATATGTGGTATCTCAGAATGCATTAGCACTGGTTGGAAGAAAAAAATGCATACCAGACATTGTGCAAATGACACAGTAATTTTGTGGTTTAACTATATCATGCAAAATATTTTTGAGAGGCTGAAATAGAAAATATATACATAGAGAATGCCAAGGAAATCCTTGGTCTCCATTACTACTAAGAGACTTAAATTTGTCAATTTTATAAATGCGGAGGCCATTTGACTTTTATTGTGGGTTGAAGATGAAGCAGTGGGGGCTGGAAGTTCCCAGGTGTAGTTGATAGCCCCACTCTAAGGACAGTGGTGAGCAGTGATTTGAGAGACAAAAGAGGATTAGATCAAATGAGATTAGCTAAACTGCAAATGGTTTTTGCTCCTTTTCTTTTCTTTCCTTACAGTTTTTATATTCTGTTTCTTCTTGTCTGAAGAATTTCTCCAAAGTGCCCGATTTTCAGTTGTGTTCTTTAAAGAGTTGAGTATGTAAATTATCAATAGGTTTAGTTCTTCTTCGGGGACTATTTAAATGCCCAGTTCTACTACTCTTTTAGTCAGAGCTAAACTTACATGGGAGACTGAGAAAGGCTGTTCAGTTTTTAACCTCCCTCAACTGTCTTCCAGGAACAAATACACGTGGCCTGAAACTACAGTTAACCCAGCTAACATTCTCAAAGACTGGATGCCCATATATGGCTCAGTATTACACAAAAAATAGTAATTTCTGGGATAGGATTGAGCTAGTCCAAGAGTCAACAGATACTATGAAGTTACAGCCTGTTGTTGAATGCTATGAATTTACACTTTAGCTCCTGTTCTGTTCTGGTTTTTTTCATGTAAAAGTATTTCCTCAGGTACAAAATGTGATTAACAATAGCTCTCTTTCAGACTTATCCAGTTGACTAATTATGGTGACTAATTATACAAATGGCCATGTCAATTGATACAGTGTGAAACTTTGTGAAATACAAGTCTTTGTAAAAATATTGGCTTTGAAATGTTTGAATTGCCAAAAATACAGTTTGTAGTTGTTATTTAACATAGAAGGAGATTGAGAAAGAAATTAAGGGAGTCAGGAGGGAAAAAAGGGGAAAGAGAACTGGAAAAAAAAAAAGAGAAAAATTTTCCCATATAAGAGCTGACCTATCTGGCATTCTCTTCAGGAACCCTCTCTTAACTGCTTCATTTGCACATCTGCAGTGAGGGTAACTGAGCCTTGGGATGATTCTAAATTGCTGCAGAATGCCAACAGTCTTTGTTAAAGGAAAGTGAGTTTATTTCAATATAGTGTTTCACTTAAATGTAAGGATTAAAACATAATTATTAAAAACTGAATGATGTGGTTTTACTGTCTTCACTTAGTGACTATTAATGAGATGAAGGAAATTGGTGCCTTGATGCCCATGTGCTTCTTGGCATCAAGAAAGAAAATATCTTTCTTCCATAGGATTCTAGTATACTTCTGCCACTGATTCACTTTCTCAGATTTTCTTGCTGCTCTGAGGCAATAGTGATACTTTGGAGAATTTTGAGAGTTTGGTATAACAAAGACCCTATAGAGCTGGCCACTCACTAAATCAAACTTCCTCTACACAATCCTTTCTAAGTTGCGCAGTAAACAAATACAGTGATGCTGGGGCTATTGTTTGTGGAGTTGAAGAACGAACTTAGCAAACACCAAAGGTAGGAGAGCCAGGGAGAGGCTTTTATTGAAAGATACATGAGAGGACAGAGCTCCTGGCTCATGCCAGGAAGGGACAAGGGAGCTCCTGGGTGGTGCGTTGTCTAGGGGATTTATAGGTGGTTGAGAAAGAGCGATCTAGGGGATGTACACCTGCTAAGTGGTCCTAAAATGTCTATCTTTGAAAAAACATTAAGTTTCTTATTAGTCTTCCGGGTTATTTACAAGAATTTTACTGCTCTGATTTCCTCCCCAGGATAGGAGCTTCCTAGTCTGAGAGCATATCACTCAAGGCTGCCTACTTTGCTCCCAAGGTGGGCTGAGTTATTGTCTGTTTGTTAAGAAACTTACCTTGTGACTAATTGGGTTTTAAGATGCAGTCTTGTTTTTTAAGATAGAGTCCTTCCTGTTTTTACTATGTTGTTTTGGGCTTGCTTGCTACCTTGCCCAAGTTGCAACAAATCATTTGTTTAGGGCTGGAGGAAGAAAAGCAGCACCTGGATAAAGTTAGAAAAATAAGCTGGGCCCCTCAGCAGGCCAAAACAAATCTCACAATGGATTATCTTGCTTTGTTTTTTCGGGAGGCCCTCACCCCACTCTGTTTAAGCCTATGGTCCCTGTCTCAGTTGCATTCATTTTGTCATGCACTTATTCATTTAAAAAAAAGGGACTTGAGCAGGATACACCTTGGTTTGAGTTCTGGCTCTGTAACTGAGTATTTTTGTGAAGTTGGCAAGTTATTTAACCTTATCTGTTACTTCGCTCACCTGTATTATGGGCACAACAAACAGGGTTGACATACAGTGTTATTTTAAGGGATAAGTGAAATAATGTAGGTCAAGAGTTCGTACAGTGTCTAGCACTGGTGCTGTTGTATTGCTAATACTCAGTACTTACTGAGCACCAGGTATACTAGAGAGATGTATAAGAAAAAAAAAAGCCTCTCAGCAATATAGAAATCTGTGATTTCTATTTTAAATTATGATAGGTGGAAAAGGACTAAATATTTAATCTAGAGTCAGTCTTTCAATGTTTTGCAGTGGTTTTGGCAGGGATGTTATGAAGCAAGTAGAAGTCAGTATGCTGGCGTGGAAAAAGTATTGCTCTAGGAAGCAAGCAGTCATTCTGACTTCTACACTCTGTGTTTGGAAACTCAATGCCACCAGGGGCCTGGGAGGTTACATAAACTGAGGAAGTGTGCAAGTGTAATGACAGTGGTGAGGGATTTGCTTGAGTTATAAGCAAGCAAATAACATCCTAATAACATGGCCTTCATGGTAGACTCAAACCAAGCAGAGTGAAATAAAAGGCTAGAAGACTAATAGTTTGTCCCCCAAGACTCAAATCATAAGCATGGAAGCACTCTTAGAAGTCATGTAGTCTTGCCTCCCTCATGAAGCAAGAAAAAAAGTTTGTTTTACCTCTAGTTCTGCGGACTAGAATGTGCATCCAGACCATTAGTGCAGACTTTTGATTGAGCCTGCGTGTGCTCCCATGCGTGTCTGTGGTCAGCCTAGTGCTCTTGTTGCACCATGCCTTCTTCTAACCCTCGGGCTTGCGATCCCTAAGCTGTGCTGTAAAAGACCTCCAAGGAAAAAGCTCCAACCTCTTTTTCTTCCCTTTGTCCACTAATATGTCCTCAAGGCCCAGCTTTCTAGATGAAAACACTCAGACAGATGGAAGCTTTGAACAGTAAGGGGAATCCATGTCAGGAGGGGAAACTTCTGACCTTGAAATTATTCAACAAGATACTAGACTCCCATTAGGACAAAGTTTCAGCTGATTCTGGAATAATCCTTCCAATAAGGGTGGGGATCAGGAAACCATATGCCTTTTAATAGGTATACGATCTTAGAAAAATCACTTACCTCTTTTGACATTTTGTTGAAGAAAAGAGCTTCTTCGGTTTGCCAGAATGTGAAGTGATCCTCTTGAAGTTTATTATAACTCAAATATCTATGATTTAATCTAATCTAATAACAATAGCAGCAATAATAGCAGCTTGTTCAGTAACAAATGCAACAGATTAAGTCTGGTGAGCTCTTAGTAAACCTATTCTACCTGGAAAATATATTTAGTGTGTTTTTTTGGGAGGGGCAGTATTGGGAAGAAAGCATACAAAATGTTACCTAGTCTAATAAATGATTTAGAAACGTTTTTGCTTAAAATAGCATCACATTTTACAGGTAAGTGCTAAGGAATGCAAGCCTGTAACCGGAGAAACACATGTTCATTGTAATTTTGGTTTGATTGCAAATTTTATTACAGAAGTAATTTGACAAAGGTGTCTTAATTTTTAAGATTGTCAGCAACTTCCCTGCCTTGTGAAGAGAAGTCCTAATTATTTTTGAAGAGTGGGTTAACCATTCAAGTATTTCTTTAATGAACAGTTATTTCTGAAAAGAACAAATTATTCACTCTATTTTTTTCTAATTAAAGGGCAGACTTATTTAAATGCATTGATCAAACCCACATACTTTTTTTTTATTGAAGGGTAGTTGACACACAGTATTACATTAGTTTCAGGTGTACAACACAGTGATTCAACATTTATATACATGATAATTCTAGCTACCAGATATCACCATACAAAGTTGTTACAATATTTTGACTATATTCCTTATGCTATACATTACATCCCGGTTACTTATTTATTTTACAATTGGAAGTCTGTACTTTTTTTT